GCCCCCGAGCCTGGCTCCCTTGTTTTTTTTTTTTCTTGAGTTGAAGTCTCACTCTGTCGCCCAGGCTGGAATGCAGTGAGACCCTCATGGCCACACTGCCTCCACCTGCCGGGCTCTGGCCATCCTTCTGCTGGAACTACAGGCGCGGGCCACACAGACGGCTAACCCTTTGATTTACTGTAGAGACGAGGTCTCGCCAAATTGCTCAGGCTGATCTCAAACCCCTGGATACAGGGAATCCTTTCGCCTCGGCCTCCCAAAGTGCTGGGATTACAGGCGTGAGCCACCGCGCCTGCTTGCTTGTTTTACCCAGTTCTCACCTCATCTGTTGCATCCGTTGGCGACAGAGATGAGAAATTTTGTCCTGCCTTCTGATTGTGGCTGAGGATGCATTGTTGGATGAAGATTTTAGAGCAATCGCTCGTGTCTGAGAACTAGGCAGATCTGATTCTGGAGAATGCCACACCTCTGAGCTCACTGGCTGGGGCACAGCCATTCACAAGTCATTCTCCTCTCCATTTAGCAATTATTGGGTGTCTATTCGGTATCAGGTGCTGTGTCAGGCACTGGAGATACAGTAATGACCTAGGTGGAATTTGTCCCGAGACGTCAAACGGTAAACAAGAGGCCAATATATTGTAGTAAGTGCCATGAAGAAAAAGAATTGGATACTGTGAAAGAATAACAGGGATAGGTCTATTTTTAGATAGGGCTGCCATCTTCCACTCGAGAGAGCAGGTAGCTGAGGTTCTGACAACAGCTAGTTGATGGCAGTCAAGTCCTGAGTCTCCTCAACTTGGGACCTTCATCCCGCCGCTCCCTCTGCCCTCAACACCCTCCCCACAGAGCCCGAGATCTGCGCAGGCGCACTGACGGTTGCCATGGGGACAGCTGCTCCGGCGCAAGCGCAGATGGCGCCAAGATGGCGGCCGCGGCGGTTGCACGAGCGGTTCCTGTGGGCTCTGGACTCCGGGGCCTGCAACGGAACCTACCTCTGGTGGTAATTCTCGGGGCCACGGGCACCGGCAAATCTACCCTGGCGTTGCAGCTAGGCCAGCGGCTTGGTGGCGAGATCGTCAGCGCTGACTCCATGCAGGTATGGTAGTGCGGTTGGGCCGGACGCCTGGAACCCCCGGAGGCCGCGTGGACATCCTGTCTAATGGTCGTAGTGGGTGAATCCCAAGACTTGTTGGGGCAGAGGGGCTAGGTGAAGGGATCCCATACTTACTTGCCGCTCACCATATGCCAGACACAGTGCCAAGTGTTCCCCTTTCATCGTCTTATTAACTTCTCACAACGCTATTGTGTGGTAAGGTACTATTATTAGTTCCACTTATGGATGAGGGAATGGGGGGCCTTGGGAAGGGAAACGACTTTCTCCGTGTCACATAGCGAATATGTGGAAGAGATGGTATTTGAACTTACAAGATTGACATAGGCATCCAATAAATACCTTTTGAATGAAAATTACTGCAGAGTTTTTACTGTAACTCCAACCCTAACCCAGCAAAACCAGAATAAATTGCATACTACTTATGATTGTCTACTGGGGTTGTGGAATAAGATAGACATTCAGGAGACTGAATTCTAGTTCTGAATCTGCCATTGGCCATGTGACGTCGGAGTAACAGTATCATTATTTGAACATTATTTTACCTATCTGTGAAGTGGGGAAAATGTCACCTACCATACAAGTCTATAGTGTGCAGTGTAAATGACATCATGGGCATTAGAATGAAGAGCAGGGTAGTTTGTCCTGAAGAAGGCCAGACACATGGTAAATGCTTTTTCAAGCTGAGGTTTTTAATCCTACTGGCTTATCTAAGTTGAACAGGCTTTGTCCTCTTCTTTGAACTGGGAGGCTTCGAAGTGTATTCATCATATCTGGAGCATTTATGTTCTATTGAGAGGAGGTGAGATTTTGAATAATCTCTGATGGGGGAATTAAAACAACTATTTGTTGAAGATAATTTACAGTTACGAGTCTTCACAGAATAAATGAAGTGTTGGACATGAAATGCCTGGCACTGAATCTAGCTAGCACCTGATGAGTACTCGGCAAGGAGGGCAGTTCTTACCCCCACTCCACCTCATAAGCCTCTGGGCATGGCTTCTACCTTCATTCTTTTTTTGAGTTGGAGTTTCACTCTGTCGCCCAGACTGGAGTGCAGTGGCCACTCCCAGCCACCGCAGCCTCGACCTGCTGAGCTCCGGCGATCCTTCCGCCTTAGCCTTCCAAGTAGCTGGAACTACAGGCGCGCGCTACCATATCCGACTAGTTTTTTTTTTAATTTATTCACTGTAGAGATGAGGTCTCACCAAGTTGCCCAGGCGGGTCTTGAACCCGCGGGCTCAGGCAATCCACTCACCACAGCCTCTCAAGGCACGGGATTACAGGCTGAGCTACTGAGCCCGGCTTACCTTCATTCTTTCATTTAGGATGATAAGACCACCAACACACGTGGAACAATAAGATAATTCAACAAATTTTTTTTTTTTTTTTTGAGTTGGAGTCTCACTCTGTCGGCCAGACTGGAGTGCAGTGGCCGCTCCCGGCCACTGCAGTCTCGACCTGCTGAGCTCCGGCTATCCTTCCGCCTCGGCCTTCCAAGTAGCTGGAACTACAGGCACGCGCTACCACGCCTGGCTAATTTTT